GCATGAGAACATTATCCTTTCTTTCAATAAAACTAAACAGTGTCTCTGATATATCTTTCTTCTAATCAAAACAGAATGGTCCATTGTTTATCAGAGGTTATGGCAGAGCATTAAATATTAGGTTAATAGCCATATCCTAAAGGGAGGGTAATTAAAAGTAACAAAAGGGAGTTAAAGATGTACTGTCTGTTATTGCTGCTATTCCAGAGGAAAGATAAGTTAATAATGCTAACTAGAAGAACTATGATTCCTATATATATATATATATATATATATATATATATATATATATATATATATATAATATATATATTATATATATATTTTTTTTTTTTAAAGAACAAATTTTACTATTTTTTTTTTTATTATTTTATACTGTGTGCGACCATTATTAAAATAGATTCTATACAGCTGATTGTGCCTGTTCAGTGCAGTGGCCAGACAAAGGAGAAGTGTTAAAAAAAAAAAAAGAAAGAAAGAAAGAAGTCTCCTTACAAGGTTGGTAAATTAAAGCAGGATAATTCTTCTTGCAAAATAAACATGACAACATTGAATTTAAATATATTTTGGAGCTACAGGTGGCCTAATGGTAAACAACAGAGACTGGAATCTGCAAGCAGTGTTCAAATTCTGCTTGAAATCTTTGTTCATTTTTTTTTTTTCTTCAGTAATGTGTTTGGGGAAAAATAAAGCTATAAATAAAACAGTAAGACAGACCAAGCTCTCTAGCCTTGAGTAGCACCCCATCTAGGATAGTGACAATCAAATGCAAACAAGGAGTGAAGCGCCTTTGGATGGTTGCATATCAAGTAAAACTTCAACAGCTTCTGCAGTCAAAGTGATACCTATATGTATTAATTATGAAGGGCATAGTAAAGCTTCAATTGGGCTAGAAATCAAAAAGCAGATAAAATAAGCTGTTTAAATAATAACACAAAAAGGAGAATCTAACACCTTATACTCAATGTGGATAAAAATAAAAAGAAAGTCTTGTAGACTGTCACTAATGTAACTGCATACTTGTAAAGTTATACAACTATCAACATATTAGAGAAGCAATATTTATGAAGATTGTAATGAGAAAGTAACATTTGCTTGCATTTGCAGTGCACTAGTCACCTAGCAGCTGTTTAAGAGATAAATATGAAAATTTGCATCTTATGGACAAAATATATAAAATAAAACCATAGGCATAGAAATTTCTTTACTTACATCATACACTGGCTATTGAAATACAATTTGTAAACCATCTGCATGCATTCTGCTTTTCGTGCAGAAATTATATTAAAATCAATAATGTGTAAATACTATGCGAATCTGTCCATATTGACAAGAGGCAAATTTTACCTGGATAGGATAGCAACGAAATACAAACAATAGTATGCCAACTGAAAGCCAGACTAATATATATATATATATATATATATATATATAATCCCCCCCCCAAAAAAAACAAGGCAATAATGTCACTAAGATGCAAAGGACTGCTTGAAGTGAAAGAAGGAACATGAAACAAGAGATAAGCCTCTACTGTTCAAAAGACTGGAGAATAGTCAAATCTATCTACTGCTATTGAGGAAGAAAAAAAAAAATTTGAGTTTAGGCAGGGATATTAAAAGTATAGAGTTGAAAAAGACTTTAAAAGGAACCAGAAATCCAATCCTAAGCAGGAAATGTGGGATAAACTTCGAAAGTTCAAATGACCGAGAAGGAGTGTGAACTGGATGATAGGCAAACTGAACGGTCAAGTTATTTTTAATAGACAGGTTGAATGACTTACTTGATAAAAAAATGGCAAAGTTTCTGATTTGAAACAATAATGAAAGACTTCCACCCAAATAATAGACCCATTGTGAAAGTTTTCAAAATAATTGACATTTTTGTGTTCCTTGCATACATCAATTAATTCATTTTCTAAGGCTTAACCCTTTGCAGGTTATTTAAAACCAGAAAATATTTCTTTTAGATTGTAAGAAAAAAAAAAAAAAAAAAAAAAAAAATTGAGATAATGAAGTGATACAAGTCTTACTAATTAATCTATAGCTGGGGGGAGGGAAAGAAGAGATTGATTTATACCTTTCCCTAACAGTATTTGTGCATAAGTGAATATAATGGATTTGATTGGAATTGAATTAACAATTCCGACTCATTATTTATTACACCACCCGCATATCCGCACTTACAGCATGTGGCATTCCAAAGGTTCCTTGCGTACAGATTCCCGCCTTTTTCTCAGCAGCTAGTAATGAACAGTGAGATTTTGATTGTACACAATATTTATTATACAAAGTTTACCATCAAAAAGATTTAATTATCAGAAATGACAAATGAAACTTATAGAACAGTAATCATCTAAGTCTTTGTTATTTACAGTCTGGACAGAAGTGTTCATCTTTGTTAATAAAATGTTTTGGCTGTTGTGCCCTTTGGCCATTTTCAGATGGCTGTTGACATGGATAACCTCAGGGGATTTTCAAATTCAATGTCAATCACTATGGGCTGTTCTGATTACTCTTATCTTCCTACTCATTTGTTTCTATTCCTAATTCTTCCACACCCAGTAACCTCTTGTGTCTTAGGGGCTTTTCTACTTCACATGGGGTGAAACTGATTAAAAAACCTTTTGTTTATAGGGGTAGGGTTGATTGTTTTTGGTGTGCTGTTCATAATTAAGGATAATTTTTTTAATTTTAAAAATCCCTCATCAGTTATTACTCACCCTGTTTCCAAGAACTTATCTGTCTCCTAGGGTTGAGTAATATAAACTCAGTGGAAACAGGACTAGAGTAAAAGGGAGACGGGGAACAAACCTGAAACCAAAAAACTGACATGCAAAAGATGAGATCTCCCTAAACATGGGAAACAGAATGAAAACAATTGGTGATGAGATGGCAGTGAAAACACCTAAATCACCTCTCAGTGGAGTGATGGCATGTATCTTCTTTGAATTTCTCAAATCCGGTTCTTTCCAAAACATTTTACCCAAACAATCAACATACTTTCATTATATTGATGATGTTCTTTACCTGACCTTGTAGATCAACTAAACAAAGTCAACCACACAATAGAATTTACATACAAAATGGAACAATTACTTACCCTTCCTAGATAACAGTTTAAAAACTGTGTCCACCAGAAATCAACCAACAAAAACAACCTAATAAATTTCTATTTCCATCATAACAAAATAAAATCTGGCATAATCATTGGATTCTTCCTAAGAGCTTTAAGAATATGCAGTTTGGATTATTTACACAAAGAGGAGAAATACATTGAAAACATTTTTAAACTTCTCCATTACCCTAATTATAGGTTATATTCAATGCAAATCAAAAAGGCCCATAACCCCCCCCCCCCCAAAAAAAACAAACAAACTAAAAAACATGCCCCTCCTGAGAAACCCAATGAATCAAGAAATATTATCCTGCCTACTAATTCTATCACATCTACAATGGAAAAAGAATCTATCTAAACTCAACATAAGAAGTTGTTACTACTACTAGTACTACCGTCAAAACAATAAAAGACTTGGTCAATACTAAACAAAACAAAACCCAAAAAACAGGAGGAACCTCAAGGAATCTAAATAGATTATATGAACACAAAAGGACATTTTTTTTTTTTTTTGAAAAAAAAAAAAAAAAAAAAATCTCTCTCTCTCATATATATATATATATATATATATATATATATATATATATATATATATATATATTCAACATCATCATGATAAGACACCGGGAGTGTTGGAACAAAATGGCTATTTTTGTAGTGATTTTATAACATGTTTATGTTATAAATTTTAAAACAAATAAAATATATATATATATATATATATATATATATATATATATAGATAGAGAGAGAGAGTCTGCACATGCATCACATGGGTGGGAAGTGAAAACTGACATTATTAAGGGATGAAACATGTAGGAGTCTCCCCCACCCATTCTGTCATTCAATGACACACTAGTAGTCTGAAACGCACAATTAAGAAAAATTAAACACAAAATATGAAAGATTAAGGTTACTCTAATGCATTTTGAAGCATACAAACATTGAATAATTTTCTGAAAAATAAAATTTCAAAAGGCATTTATTTTATAAATAATCAGAGTGTCATCCTCCAAGTGTTTTTATTTGAAAAAACACAGACATTTATTCTTGACAACAATAATTTGAAACTTAACAAAATTAGCAAAGTCACTATTTTTCAGATTTCTGCACAAGAGATTTACTGGGAAATTTTGAAGAGAAATTCATTATTTAGCTGATATTTCATAATTTGGTTATGAAGCTTTGCATGAAACTAAAGCTGTATACTATACCAGCCATACTTTCATATTAAATATATTTTTCATTTAAATGTATCAAAACTGAAGTGGGTTAAAAGCCCAGAATTAGGTTATATAACATATCTTTGGCATTTTAAAAATGTAAAAAAGATCAAATAAATAAACTTGAATAGGAGAATAAGTATTCTTGTTAACACAACAGGTCATAAAATACATTTTTCATGATCTTAAAATGCAAACACCCTTATTGCTTTTGATAGTACAAGGAGAAAGAGGGAGGGAAAAAGTTTGAAATTTTTTTTTTTTTTAAATCTTTTATTATAAAGAAAAAATAAAAAGGTCGAATTGAGCTGATCAGGGGCCATGATTCACTGTCAATGATGTGGTATTTCATTGGATATGTCGATTAATGGCTTTCTGCTCAGTTCAATTTAAAGTAATTCACTTATTTACTATCAACAGCATCACTTTCCTTCTTTGGAGGCCATGTGTCTCATCAATTGATTTGTTAATTTGTCTAATCTTTTTATATCTTGAGCATGTTCCGTCCTGTATTGTACACACTGAAAAAAAAAAAAAATTATTTAAAAGGACAAATTCATCTTTGTGGTAAAAAAAAAAAAAAAAAAAAAAAAAAAAAAAAAATAAAGTATAGTGAAATACTAGTTTTAATTACTGAGAGATAGATAGAGAGATAGATAGATTTTAGATTAGATAGAGAGATAGATAGATAGATAGAGAGATAGAGAGAGAGATAGATAGAGAGATAGAGAGAGATAGATAGATAGATAGATGGAGAGAGAGAGAGATAGATAGATAGAGAGAGATAGAGAGATAGAGATGGAGAGATATAGATAGATAGATAGATAGAGAGATAGATAGATAGAGAGATAGATGGATGGAGAGAGATAGATGAGAGATAGATAGATGGGATGGATGGATAGAGAGATAGATGAGATAGATAGATAGAGAGATAGATGGGAGATGGATAGAGAGATAGATGGAGATAGATAGAGAGATGGATAGAGAGATGGATAGAGATGGATGGGGAGATGGATGGAGAGATAGAGATGGATGGAGATAGAGAGATGATGGGAGATAGGAGATGGATGGATAGATGGAGAGAGATGGATGATGGATAGAGAGAGAGGATAGGATAGAGATGGATGGGGATGGATAGAGATGGATAGAGATGGAGAGAGATAGAGATGGAGATATAGGGATAGAGAGATAGATATAGATATATAGATAGATAGAGAGAGATAGATAGAGAGAGGTAGATATATAGAGAGGTAGATATATAGAGAGGTAGATATATAGAGAGGTATATATAGATATATATATATATATATATATATATATATATATAGATAGAGAGAGAGAGAGATAGATATATATAGAGAGATAAAAATTTGCCGTTAAATCTTCAAGCAATAATTTAGTGATGTCAATAATATGAAAGCATAAAAATGGAATCATGTACTAAATAATATGTTGCATCATATAATTAAATTTTTATTCCAAGTCCATTACATTCTTTGAATTTATGGATCATTTTTTTTTTAATACATAGATAACCATTTCATTAATTATTTTATAAATTTCATGTGCAATGTCCATTCAGAATGTGTGTGATCATGGCTCTCCATACTATCTTTTATTGCTCTAAGTAACTCTTCATCCTTCACTACCATTCTTTATACATGTGATCTTTGTTTTACCATCCAGTCTCTTATTAAATATATCCTTCAAGTATTAAAAATTCTCCAAGCCATCTTATTACATGCACCCAAAAATTCTAGCTGTCTTTGATAGCATTTTCTTTGCAGTCCCTATTTTCCATAAATGCTTTATAAAAGATGGTATTTTCAGCATTTGTTGATAAAACTACCCATAAAGTCTTCATCTTCAAGGGAATTATCATTCACTGTCACACAGCTTATTTACAGCTTAAAAAAAAAAAAAAAAAAAAAAAAGAGAAGCAACAAATAAAGTTAAGTCTTATTATAAAAGATATATAAATTAGTGTGGGGGGGTATAATTTTTTTATATTAAGTCTTATTTTTTGTATTAAGTCTTATTATAAAAGATATATAAATTAGTGTGTGGGGGTATAATTTTTTTTATCTGTTTGGTGGCTGTCCACATGTTGATTTGGGGACATTTTGCATGAGGGTGAAAGAATTTAAGTTATACTAGTTGTGGTAGCAGGTAGACATTGTTGATTCTTTAATCATAGATCTGATAAAAATTGATGATATAATAAAGTGTGTGTTTGTTGTGTTTATAGATGGTAAAATATTTATCAGAACTCTCTAAGTATTTCCTGCATACAAAAATTCTTTTCTAATTAGGGTGGCATTTTATAAATGGCACCACAATTGGTATAAATTATTTCACCCTCACACAAAACGTCCCCAAATCAACATGCAGACATCTTCCAGACATGGATGAAAATGCCTACATCTACCTGACACACAAATCATCAGATTCCTACATAGACAAACTAGAATTATGACTGACTGACTGACACACACAGCTTGACAAAACAAAATGCACATGAAGTTTTCTTTAACAATGAAAAACAGACAAAAATTTAAAATAGAATTTTGTTTTTCTACTCCACATTTAATTCTCTGATGAAGTTTTATTTGTTCCTTATCCTATCTTATCCATATTTGATCACAATTCATTATGTTAAGAAACAAAACAAGTTGAGAGAGAGAGAGAGAGAGAGAGAAAGAAAGACCCCCCCCCAAAAAAAAAACAGAAGCATATCACTTTATTCAATGGCATCAACAAAAATTATGACAGTACTGTTCATTTCAGGTGAAGAGAAGATCCTCAATAAAGAGGTCTTCATAATTGTTAAAAAATTTCATGTATTTTTAAAACATGAGTAAGAATGGTTCTATCAATTCAGAAATTTGAGATTTAAAATTTTGTGTTCTTGGATTTAACATGAAGCTGCAAAAAATGCATAAAATTAACACTTATTTGCGAGAACAATTAAAAAAAAATATTTGATACTAGCTCAACCTAATAACACAAAGAAAATGTTAAAGAGTAAAGCTATTGTACAAGGAAGCACTTGGAACATTCAACCAACTTCCAAAATTGGACCAAACGTCAGTTTATTTTGAAATCTCTTGGTTGAACAGAGAACTTTTCAGAACCACCTCAATATATACAAGTAGATTTATCTGTTTGACTGGCAAAACTATGTCTTGCTCCTTCATTTAACAATCAAACTTGCCACTGACCCATTGTACAATTGCTGAAAAGTTTCTAATCAATTTAAAGGCTATATAATTGAGTTTTAATATGTTAACTCCATGTACAGCAAATTTCAACTATTATCGCATTTTCTTAAGTACACAGGAAAAAGGAAATTAACCAGTTTCTAGAGCCATGAGTTTACTTACATTCCATAGAGTACAATCAAATAGGAAACAAGTGCCATTATATATAAGAGAGAAAAAAAATATCAGCCTATAAATTTAACTTTATATTTACTAATTTCCAAAGCTGAATAAGCATAGTTTTGTTTTCTCTAAAAAGTCTAATTGCTGACAATTTAGGGAAAAAGGTGTTTAAAAATTCATAAAAAAGGAAGTGCTTCTTCCCACTCCACATCTTTCAATAGTTATTTTTTTTCCCCAAAGGCTTACACAGGAGAAACCTTCAACTCAGGAAACAGATGTTTTCAAGGTGGAGAGGAGGTTTTAGGGAAGGGCCTCTTGTATCCTACAAATAACTCACCCCTGGAGTTCTGCAGTAGTGAAAGCTGGATAAAACTGGTTACAAGCTCTGATCTAGTACAACTATCCTCAGAAAAAAAAAAAAAAAAAAAAAAAAAAAAAAAAAAAATTGCCAAAGATACTGTCACTTGTAGCAAAAGTCAGCAAAAGAAAAAAAAAAAAAAAAAAAAATTTGATTTCAGCAAAATCAAAATTAATTCTTGTTATTTTGCTTGTTTAGCTATTTTCCCAGCACTTTGAAAACACGTCACTTTCTATAAACAATAAAGTCAATTTGCATTTTATGGTTAATTCACAAACAGGTTTATATGTAAATTAATGGCAGCATTACACTTTTCATTTTAAGATATTTTCTTGCTTTCATTGCCATATATTATTTAAGATATATATTACATGATGAAGAAAAAACAAAAAAAAACAAAAAAAACAAAAACAAAAACAAAAAAAAAACACACACACAAAAACAAAAAACACACACAAAAACAAAAAACACAAAAAACTTTTTAATCAAAGACATGGTTTTGGTGGCTTTTGTTTGGTGACATATCGATCTCTAAGTTATTTAATACCAAAATCTAAATATTTTATATGCACTTTTTGTGGGCAGGAGGAATGGTTTTAGTGTTACAAGTCTTACTAATTAACTCATAGCTGAGGGGAGAAGAGGTGGATTCATAAATTTCCCAAAGTATTTGCAAGTGAATATAACTAACTGGAATTGGAACTGCTCTCCAATTAACAATTTTGAGCCATTGTCCATTACACCATCCACACATCCAAGCATATAGCAACTGGTATTCCCATGCAGTCATCTATCTAGGTACTGACCAGGCTCAACATTTGCTTAACTTCGGTGATCATACGAGAACTGGTGTTTCAACATGATGTGGCTGTAAGCCAAAATGCTCTTGGAAAGAATCAGAATTAAGATATTGGACATTGTTTACAATACATTTAATTATTTCTGATAAAAAAAAAAAAAAACAAAACAAAAACAAAACAAAACAAAAAAAAAGACACACTATATGCTAACAGTTAACACAATGTTACAGGATTTACAAGAATTAAGAATAGATTGTATGAGGTTTTCCCTTTCCAAACTGTAGAATGTACACTATCAATAACAGACGTAGAAGATAACTTGCTTAAAAAATTACATTTATTTTATGCTAAGTAAAAAATTATAGTTTTAAAACCACAATCATAAATTGCAATAAAATTTTAATACAATGTTATTTGGAAGAGTATGAGCTTCAAATCAGTTTTTAATAATAGTTAATAATCTTACCAGAATTACCCAGAGGAAATTCTCTCTTCCATATGAATAAAGGTAAAATGTTAATTTAAAGCTATTGATACTGATCTTCCCAAAGTTTTGTCAAAAATCTTGAGCAGCAATTCATACAAAATGGGGACAACAGGAATTTACTAAACATGAATTTTTTTTTTGTACCTAGTCTTTTTCTTTCTCTAATGAAAACATTGTTTACTAACAAGTTTTATTGATTTGTTCAGATTTACTTGTAGATAATGAGCATTACAATTGTGGACAGTGGTAATCCCACCATAAAGTTTGAAACCATTAATCTAGATGATCAAAAATCAGAACCAAGTATCTTGCTAGCATAGTAAATACTGATGACCTTGTAAAAAAAAAAAAAAAAAAAAAAAAATTATATATATATATATATATATATATATATATATATATATATATAATTTCAATACCAGTTTATTGGTACTGTAAAAGTGTAAATGAGAAATATGTGGAGGGAGAGAAATGCACGATCGAGGGAGAAAATGAGGGAGAGAGAGGAGAAAAAACCAGGAGTTTATGAGAGAGAGAGAGAGAAAAAAATCCAGGAGTTTACGAGAGAGAGAGAGAAAAATCCAGGAGTTTACGAGAGAGAGAGAGAAAAAAAATCCAGGAGTTTACTGAGAGAGAGAGAGAAAAAAAATCCAGGAGTTTACGAGAGAGAGAGAAAAAAAAATCCAGGAGTTTAAAGAGAGAGAGAAAAAAAATCCAGGAGTTTACTTAGAGAGAGAGAGAAAAAAATCCAGGAGTTTACGAGAGAGAGAGAAAAAAATCCAGGAGTTTACTTAGAGAGAGAGAAAAAAAAAAAACCAGGAGTTTACGAGAGAGAGAGAAAAAAAAATCCAGGAGTTTACGAGAGAGAGAGAAAAAAAAATCCAGGAGTTTACGAGAGAGAGAGAGAAAAAAATCCAGGAGTTTACGAGAGAGAGAGAGAAAAAAAAAATCCAGGAGTTTACGGAGAGAGAGAAAAAAAATCCAGGAGTTCTTAGAGAGAGAGAAAAAATCCAGGAGTTTACGAGAGAGAGAAAAAAAATCCAGGAGTTTACGAGAGAGAGAGAAAAAAAAATCCAGGAGTTTACTTAGAGAGAGAGAGAGAAAAAAATCCAGGAGTTTACGAGAGAGAGAGAGAAAAAAAATCCAGGAGTTTACGAGAGAGAGAGAGAGAAAAAAAATCCAGGAGTTTACGAGAGAGAGAGAGAGAAAAAAAATCCAGGAGTTTACGAGAGAGAGAGAGAGAAAAAAACAGGAGTTTACGAGAGAGAGAGAGAAAAAATCCAGGAGTTTATTTAGAGAGAGAGAGAAAAAAATCCAGGAGTTTACGAGAGAGAGAGAGAATGCAGAAGTTTACGAGAGAGAGAGAGAATGCAGAAGTTTACGAGAGAGAGAGAGAATGCAGAAGTTTACGAGAGAGAGAGAGAATGCAGAAGTTTACTTAGAGAGAGAGAATGCAGAAGCTACGAGAGAGAGAGAGAATGCAGAAGTTTACTTAGAGAGAGAGAGAATGCAGAAGTTTACTTAGAGAGAGAGAGAATGCAGAAGCTATTTAGAGAGAGAGAGAGAGAGAGAGAGAATGAGAAGTTTAGAGAGAGAGAGAGAGAGAATGCAGGAGTTTACGAGAGAGAGAGAGAGAGAGAGAATGCAGGAGTTTACGAGAGAGAGAGAGAAATGCAGGAGTTTAGAGAGAGAGAGAGAGAGAGAGAAGTTTACGAGAGAGAGAGAGAGAATGCAGAAGTTTACGAGAGAGAGAGAGAGAATGCAGAAGTTTACGAGAGAGAGAGAAAATGGGGAATGCAGTCGTACATGTGATGGAACAAATTTATAAATCAACTGACACAACACATAAATTATAAATATCAGGATAATTTACAAGAACTCAAATTACTGTATTAGCAGGAAAAATGTAACCTAATTTCAATAGAGTAGCAATCTCTAAAAACTGAAGTGAAACATAGCCAGTTGCGAATTGTTTTAGATACTTTAAACTGCCAGCTGATTAAGCACAACAGGTGGTTAAATGTTGCAGCTCATTTGGTTAATAATATAATTAACCAGACTATATATATATATATATATATATATATATATATAGTGTGTGTGTATGTATATTAGTGAGGGTGCTGAAAAGTTCTTAGCCTGACCCAGTCCCCAAAATTTGTCCAATGATTATATATTCAATTTTTAGAGAATTTGTAGCTTATTTGGTAGACCCTAGTTTATTAATTAGGGCTGTTGAAATTGAGATATGAGCAACCATGTACACCCTTAACATTATACACGACAACCATTGTAGTCAAGCACTTCTATAACTTACTCTAGGTCTTTAGAGCTCATTTGGCAATCCAATCTTATTACACAGAATCCTTTATAGATTCTATAATAAAAAATTGAAATGCAAACTAGACTGTATCCTTACCTAAATTCATCCATCAGCTGAAGCAGTTAGTGTTTAAAGCCTATGAATAAGTATCTAGGACAATTTAACCTTCATAAAGCATTTCCAGTTTGGTCAAAATGTACTTATCTACATTCTTAGAATTTATGAAGAAAATCTAAAGAGAATGGCAGTGTTATCTTAGATTTCTGAATAGAGAATAAAATAAGGTTGTTTTCCAGTGTGGGGAAAGTCTAACCCAGCAGCACAAAAAACAAAATCTGAGTCAATGGCCATCCATCCCAACTATAAGTTAAATAGCCTTACTAACCCACAATTGGCCAAGTGTGGTGGGCACAGCTACACCTTTCAAAACATGTTCAACAGGAATGAGGAGGAACTGGATCTGGATTTGATAGTGAACATGTTGATATTTGGACTATTGTCTTCATCTTTATCATAATGTTTCAGCTGTTGCATCCTCTGTCCTTCAGGGGTTGGGATAATGGTCTTGTGTGACAGTATTATCGGCCTGAGGTCAACTCCTAGTCGTGGCGTGAAGATGTGATACTTCTACCAGCACTTTTAGATTGACAGTCACTGCCACCAACACATGTCCTGGTCATCCGGCAGTTGTTGCTGCCAGGTAGGATCTCTTGATCAGGGTACCAAATAAGATGGTCGGTCAATTCTAACAGCTTCACACCAGATGCAACTGGTTCGACACCAGCTCCGTCGTTCTCAGCTCACTTCCAATGACTGGTTACCAAAGTAACTCCTTTGATCTCAAGTTTAACCTACCCATGTTGTGATTTGATCTTAGGTAGACGGGATCAACCGGGCATCGGGTCGTAGTGCAAAATGAGTCAACTGGAGGTGATGTCACACAAGCATAAAAAGAAATAAATAAAAACCGGAAAAGGGCATGTATGTTGAAAGAAAGCAAATCAACTTTTATCGGTCCATTCTATACAGGAGTATGTGTTTTTCCCAACCCATTTCTTCTGAGAGCGATGCTATCATACTTCTAGCAAGTTCTGGTCTTCTAAGTCAACTGGTTTAGTTTTTAGGTGCTGGCTTAGCTTCGTTCGTCAGTATAATTTGCTGTTTTGTAGAAAGGCGAGGTCAGAGGCAGAAGTCGTGAAATCTCTTGGCCAGCTTCTGCAAGGCAATTCTCTGGTTCATGTCAGTGAACTGAAAAACTGGCGAACTGCCTGAGGGCGCTTGCTTATATGGACTTTGACCAAAAACCGGCATGGGGTTAGACACAGACTGGGGTTTTCGGTAATTCCAATTCCTAAAGACCCTCCTTCTCACATTGATATCTTATACCAAATCCTTTCAGTGGGCATTAGTAATTAGTCTTTCTTACCAATTTACCTCCACCTATCATTATTGCTACCACCCGACCAATGGTGTCTCGGTCATGCAGATGTGGCTAAGCTTGCTTCATTACCCAACTCAACCATCGCTGATTTCTGAGTTCAGAATTATCAACTTTGTTTATGAAATTCCCTTTTCTGTCTTACAAATAACACATGGCCCTGTCACTTGGCCAATTCCTAAAATCTTTGTGATTTTGAATTATATCTTCGATGCTTTCTGGTTATTTTGTGTTTTCTTAACCAGTACTTTTACAATTATCATTAATTGTCAAAAGCTCGCCACATAGCCTTTTTGTGAATTTACCGTTTACACAAATCCTTGGGTTCTTGAGAAAAGTAAAAATAAAATCTTTTCATATTGAACAGCATATATCTCTCGGAACATCTTCCTATGCCAAAAATTCTTACAATTAACATAGCCCCGTTGCTTGGCCAACTCCTGAAATCTTTGTGATTTCAAGTGATATCTTTCACACTTTCTGGTTATTTCATGTTTTCTTAACAAGTATCATTAATCGATTGTCAAAAGCTCACCACATTGCCCTTTTGTGAATTTATCGTTGATGCAAATCCCTGGTTTCTTGAGGAAAGTAATTTTTTTTTTAAAAGTAAAAATAAAATCTCGGGATATCTTCTTTTCCGTTCTTAGTGTTTTCTTGTTTAATTTTTATAGCTAATTAGTTAATCAATTACCATAGCTAAATAGTGTCACACTTGTGAATTAAACCACAGTCTGTGAATTTGGTGACAAAACAGTTCAATTTTTGGGTTAGGTAGTACAGACTCAGTGGAAACAGTGCAAGCAATAACTGAGCAGTACTAAA